AAAAAAAAAAAAAAGAAAGAAGAAGAAAGAAGAAGAAGAGGAAGAGGAAGAGGAAAAAAATTATAATTCTTTTTAAGATCCTGCGACAGTCACTGGGATAAAGAAGCTACCACTTAGACATATGACCCCAAACCCACAGGGTCAGATCTAGAAATGTAGAGTGTTGAGAAGTCCCAAAAGAGACTCATCATAAATTCTGAGAGAATGGATGTGCCAGTAAATTACTTCACAGAGAAGGCAAAGAAGGGAACTTTACAAATCATACTTCTTACCACACATAATGGCACGTGTCAATAATCCCAATTACTGAGGTTAAGGCAGGAGAATCACAAGCTCAAGGCCAGCCTAGTCAACTTAGCAAAATCTTGGCTCAAAATAAGAAGGGCTGGCAATGTAGCCCAGTGGTAAAGCACTTAACTGGCATGCAAGAGGTGTTTGATCCCCTGTATTGAAAACAAATTATGTTTCTATTGAAATCACAGAAACCAACTGCCCACTTCCTTTGTCCTGCTCCACACCTGTGAGGAAGCTGATGAAGGCTGACACGATATTGGGCCTCCGGATCCTCCAGAAGAGGTCAGATGCAAAGGACACCATGAAGAAAGTGGTAAGGAAAGCCAAGACAACTGCAGAGAGTAGGAAGATCCGGCCGAGGAAGATGTAAACTGCAAGGGAGGGAGAGCAGAGACTGGACTGTGGACCCTGCCCCTCAAGGGAGGAACGCCACAGAGCCTGGCATGGATGACCTCAGAGTCTCTACCATCCTTGGGTCCCACAGCAGGGCCTTGGGACCCAAGGCTGTGAGCCTACTACTGTGCCCTCAATAGGGCTCTGGCCTCACCACTTTGTCCCCAATAACATTGAAAGTAATAAAAAACAAACTAGATTAATAATGTCAGACTCTGAAATCATTCATCAGTTCTTAACAAACATATTATGTGAATCTGTATCAAATCATGTGGGGAAACCATGTATCGTATACTTGGGGAAATGGTGGCTTTAATAAACACAAAATTCAACTCTAATAAAATTTATCACAAGTACAAATATGAAGACAGGACTGTGCTGATTATGGTAAAATAACTCAACCATAGAAAATCAGAACTCCATGAGGTCAAAATAATCTGAACTTTGTAAGAACTCCCTCTCATTCATTCCTATTTACTTTTTCTGGTTAATAGGAAAAATAAAACATCAAAATTAGCAGAGCCAGAGTCTGGAAACAGGGTAATTATTCTCCTGCCAGCATGATTCAGACTATATTAAAACTAGCTTGCTTGCCCTCCTAGGCACACAGAGATGCACATCTGGAGGTAGGACAAGAGGTAGGTGTTGCTAAAGACCCAGACACTCTAGAGTGTCCCCTTGGGTCAAGTTGATGGTGCTCAACTGAGGATAGTCTTTACCCCTCAAGTATTTAATGATGCCTGGAGAGATTTTGATTTCCTAAATGGAGAGGGTCTGTGATGCTACCAGTATCTAATGGGTAGAAGAGGGCAGGGTGCTAGTATCCATCCTGTGAGAAACAGGAGAGCTCCCACAGAAAAAAGTTTAGCCTAAAATGTCAGCAGTGCCAAGTTTGAGGAAACCTGGGTCAAAAAGTTCACAAGATCAGACCCATCTTCTCCAAGGCAGCTTTTCCTATTTATAAGAGGTAACCATGAGTCACATTTTTAACTACACAAATATACTATGGCCTTCAAAAGTTCCCTATAGGGCCCAGGGAGGGGGGACGAGGGGGGGAGAAAGAGAAAAAGAAAGGAAAAGAAAAGGAAAAGGAAGGAAAGGAAGGGAAGGGAAGGGAAGGGAAGGGAAGGGAAGGGAAGGGAAGGGAAGGGAAGGGAAGGAAAGGAAAGGAAAGGGAAGGGAAATATTCTTTGTGAATGGCCAGTCATGGTGGATGCCTGTAATCTTAGCACATGGAGGCAGAGGCAGGAGGATCACTATGAATTTGAGGCCATTCTGGGCTACATAGTAAGTTCAAGGACAGCCTGAACTGCCAGTGAGACCCTGACAAAAAAAAAATGATCTTAAGAGCTCACAGTCCTCTGAACTCATACATCCATGTCTATTATCTGCAGGCTACACCTACAGGTGAGGAGGCCAAAATCCAGCCTTATGCTCTACTATTCCCCTTGGCTGGAAGCCATGCCCACCCATGACAGTGCTGTGTGGGCAAATTAATGGCAGCCCAGGCAACAGAGCAGGAACCCCCCTGTTATCCCACCTACAGCACTCAGGCTTAGAAATAAGCTTTGCTTGGGTCAAGGATTTAGTTCAGTGGTTCTGCCACCTGCCTCAAAAATGCAAGATCCAGAGTTCAATCCCCGGTACCAAAAAAAAAAAAAAAAAGGAAAGAAATAAGTTTAGCTCCTGGCACATTTGTCCCTACTCCAGAGGTCAACTTGACATTATTAGCCCCTTCCCGGCATCCCACCTTCCTCTCACCCCCAAGAGAGTGGAGACTCAGAAAAGACATCCTTATGGGCTTATTAAACTTTGTCCTCTCTGCTCCCATCTGTCCTGTCACCCACACTGGCCCCATCACCCCTTCCCCCTCTTTGCTCCTATCCCTCCTTACTGGATAAGGGTCGAGGCTTCAAGCATTTGATATGGAAACAGTTCTCAAACAGGCCACTGAAAAACACTTCATGGGACTCTTCATCCACCAGACGTACCCAGAAGGGAAAGATGGAGACCACCAGTATGAACAGGTAGCCCAGGGAGGCCAAGGCTGGGGCGATGGCCCAGGTGAATCTCTTTATGCCTTTGTCCTCGAAAGTCAGCATCACCTGGACAAGGAAAAAGTGATGGCAGAGGTGAAGTATCTCCACATTCTCCTGTGACACAGGGTAGAGGTAATGGCCATGGAAATGCTGGTACTGGGCACAGCACAATAGTGACAATACTTTGTCACTGGGGATTTCTTTCTCCTGCTTAACTTTCCAGCTTGTAGGACTCCGCAGCTGGCCCAAAACATGCATGCCTCACAGGGAGGTCTTGAGCATAGCAGGTGCCCTTTCTGGACCCCAATTTTATCCTGTAGCAAAACAAAGAGGTCGGCCTGGCCCCCTCAAGGTCTCTTCAGATCTACAGTACTAATCTTTCCATTCTACTGATGCCCATCCCACTGCCAACCAGACATCTCCACAAGGCTCTTCTGTGTTAGCTGTTTGTCTTTTGATTGCAGACTGAGGACCTGGGGGAGAGAGTGAGTCCAGTCTCAAGTGTCCTTACTTGGTGACAGCCTTCTGGCTACAAGAACCCAGGGTTCAGATAAGGGAGAGGCCCAAGTGGCCAGAAAAATGAGCAAGTCCTAGGCACACAGAAAGGAGGCTCGGGTGCTTTCTATATGTGGAAGTCAAGGCCCTCCGCTATGGAACCTCTTCCATCAAGTCCCGCAGCCCTACCTGTTTTCTCTTACACCACCACTGTCAGTAAGAGGTGTTCTGAAAGAGTGGCTGGGCTGCACTAGGTAAGTGCTGGCTGGTCTTACCTTCAGGAGTCCTCAGTCATGATCCCAGCTTTACCACTTCCTAGCTGTGTCATGTAGGGAACTTATTCAAACTCTCTAAATCCTGGTTTCCCCATTCGGAAAAGGAGAAATTTAACAATTGCCCAATAAAGCCATTGAGAAGGCCAAATAAAATAATTAAAATCTGCTCTGTGCTCAAGTGCTTCATTAAAGTTGGGAGACAGGGGCAGGGAGGGAAAGTAACTTCTGAAATTCAAACTTCTTCTGGGAGAAGGAGCCAGGTAGCCATTCACAACTTCAGGGCACAACTCAGAGCACATTTACTGTGTTCCCTGCTGTCCCTGGTGTCTTTGCTCAGACTGGGAGCCCTAAGAAGTGATCATTTTCCTGCAGCAGGGAAGGAAGAGCAGGGGAAGGAAAGAAGCTAGAAGCCTGGCATGCTGCAGGAAGTGCAGGCCTAGTCAGGATGCCAGGGGGCACTGTGATGAGCCTGGCTATCTGGCAGAGGCATTAGGTGAAAGAAAGATGAAAGTAGCAAGGTAGGGTAAGGGCATACCAAGACAAGAGCCCTTCTTTCAAGCCTCACCCCAAACCGGTCTGGAGACTGCTGCTGACTAGGGCTCTATAGGCAGCACCAGTTTTCAAGCTGTGCAATAGTGAGTACTGAAGACAAGACCGTGGAAGAGACGATGCTTCTCCCTGCTCTCTCCTGCACACTGTGCAAGCACCAGTGTAGGCACAGTCCCAATGTGGACCCTTGCTGCTGCCAGGGAAGGGAGTCTCTTGGATAGCTGCTGATCCCTTTAGTCCAGCAAACCTGATGGTAGAGAGGTTCAGGTCCTTTCCAGCAATCCAACATCAAATATGCTGACCATCATCAGTGGGAAGTATTCCTCCTCCCACAGTCAAGGTGACTTGGAAATATTCTGCTGTATTTTCTCCTCCCTTGTGTCAATCACCAGTTTTTCTCTTTTTCACATCTGAGGAACTGTATCCACCCCTCTCCAAATCTCTCCTCTGACCTTGCACCCACTCTTCAGAGGAGACTGACACATCAATCTCAGATCCTCAGCTTCCTTTGCTCTACTATGATGAAGTGGGTTGGACTAGATTTACAGAAGTCCCAATCCTAAACCCAAAGCAGGGAGTCACAGTCATATCTTGTCAGGGCTTCCAGATGGGGCACATGGGCTATGCATTTCATTTGACGGGGACCTCTTCCTGTACAATCCCTAGTCTCAGACTTTCTAGACGTGACCCTGTTCCCATCACCCTCTCACTCGTGCTAACTACAGCCCTAAGCTTATTATGTTGCTTTCTCCCTTCCCTTCACTCTTTCATCTCATCAGCCTTCCTCATGCTTCCTTTCCTAAAGTTCTCATAGCATCCATCTTTCCTGTCCCCAAGCCTACATGCCTCCTTCCACACACAGAACATCATAGTCAAAGCACACCAGCCTCCAAGCCTGGGTTCCTCCCAGGATCCCCTTTCTGTTTCCCTAAACCAGTGATGTCAAACCTTTTAGCCCTTTCAATAACAACCAGCCCTCTTCAGCATGCATGCCATAGGTTTGCCACCAGTGCCCCAAACCTTTAAGATCCTACCTTCCCTGAAGAGTGCAGCTTGGTCTGACCACTCCCCATAGCCTTCCCAGTCAACAACCTTCAACACCCCACTCCCTCAACAAAAATTAATTATGCACTCACTGGTTTTCCCATGCCAACATGAGCTTACAGTGGGGATTCAGGGATAAAGCCAGATGGGACTCAGAGGCTGTAACTGCTGAAGGGTGACACATCAGTGCATCACACAGGACAGAATTTACATCTCCCCAGCCTGGGATGACCCCTGTGTGTCACACCTCAGCCTGGTCACTCACCAGTGATGAGGACCTTGTCCTCCCCCAAGCAGCCCTGACCACTAGTATAGTGGTTCCAAGGACATGCAATTTCAAACATGCATTGATACAGACCAGACTCTAGGATCATAGTCATTTCAGTTTGAAAAGAGGAGAGTCTGCTGGGAATTTAGCCCAGTGGCACCACACCTGCCTGGCAAGCACAAGGTCCTGAGTTCAATCCCTGGTACCAAAAAAAATTTAAAAATTTAAAAATTAAAAATAAAAGAGGAGAGTCAGAGCCAGGCATGTTGGCACACTCCTGTAATCCCAGCACTCAGGAGGCTGTGTCAGGAGTATTGCCTAGAGTTGTAGGCCAGCCTGGACTACACAGTGAGACCCTGTCTCAAAAATAATAATAATAATAATAATTGTAATAAAATAGAGAAGAGCCAGAGAGAGGGACCCGCTGACAAAGGATCCCACAGTCAGTGCCACACAGAATCCTACAAAGTTGCCCCACCCACCTCTCCAGCAGTTCAGGGATTCTCAAATTTAGGGGAGCCAGTGATTGCTTTTGTTTCATGTTGTTTTGGTTGCTTGGCATATGTGTTTTACCAGAAATGGAACCCAGGGACTCAAGAAAGCCAGGCAAACACTGTACCACTAGCTACATCTCCAGGCCCCAGTAATTTTTTCTGAGGCATATGCAAGGGACAAAGAGAGAGAGAAGGGGGTGTGGTGGGGGGATGGAATTACTAAGTTTTTGTTTTGACTACAGCATTCAAAACAACTGTTATTTACTATTATTGTTTTGTTGTTTTTTTTTTAATGTTGTTTTTAAAGGACCCATGAACCTAGAGTAGAAGGTTGTATGCTCAGTGGTGCCAGATCAGCATCTGGGGGGTGACTGGCCTGGCTGAAGGCTCCCCAGTTTAGGCTCTACAGGGTCTGAACTGAAACCTGGCTCCTCCCTAAGACAATAACAGGCCAGACCAGAAGCCCATCAGCTTGGACTGCAGAAAGGACTGGAGAAGGAGGCGTCCCGGTGCGAGGGAGGGCTCGTTTCCCCGCTGTCTCCACCCCTAATCTGAGGCAGCCCGGGCTGCAAACCGACCGAGTTGTGGCAAGATGTTCTTCAGTTGACTACCCCCCACCCACCCCGCGCACGCGCGCCATCGCCCCTGCCCTCGCCCTGTCCTCTTGAAGTCAAGTCTTCGCTTCTTTGTGGCCTCAAATGTCCCTGTCCCCTAAGTCAGTAGGGGTGCTTGATTTGGGCCTGTAGGTGAGCGCTGGGAGGGGTATTCACGCCCTCCTCTTTGTCTCTCACCTCTCACCTAGGGCACCGCCAGGGTCTTCCATCTTGTCCAGGGAAAGGCTTCCCTGGGGGAAGCAAGGTTGCCATCTGACCCGTCTCTGGGCCCGGCTCCTTCCCCAGCTGCCTTTGCGCCTCCTCAGAGCCGGCCCAGCCCCCATGGACTGAGCCCCACACCCAGCCAGTGTACAGACTGCCCCTGGCCCCGCTCTGTGCAGCACCTCACCTGCCCTGGCTCGCAGCCCGGCTCTGCACGTTGGTTCGCCATACTGGCCTCGCTCACGGACCAGTAGGAGTTGGAGTCGTCCAGTCGGTGGGGTCTGAGTTCGAATTCCAGCTCAACCCTCACCAGCAGAACTACTTTGGGTAAGTCACTTCTTCCTGGGTCCTAGTTTTCTCATCTGTAAACTGGAAATAACAACAGACTGTAGGCCTGTTGGATTGCTGAAAGGTATCCAGTGATGTGACTGGAAAAGACTCTCAGCAGACACAGCACTAAATAAACAACAGCTACCCCTAGAGCAAAAGGAAGGCAAGATCTGAACTCCACAGGAGCCCTGCTCCCTTCCCTCAAACCCCCTGCAGACAGACCATTCACCTCTCACACTCACTCCCTTCAGGCCTCCCAACACCCTGTCTGCCCCCTCACCAGCACGTGATATTCCCCCACCCTGCCCAGGGCGGTTTTAACCTGGGGAAAACTGAAGAAATGGGGACTGGTTGGAGGAAAGACCATCCAGCCTGGGGTGGGGATAGGGTGGCTGATTCTAGTGGCAAGGGCAGCCACACTGGGCTGGACAAGTCACCAGTCCCCCTCTCCTGATTCTGTACTCACTGAGGAAATGTATTTATAACTCAGGATTTCAAATCCATGGCTCGCACCTCCTTCCACTTCCCCACAAACCAGTTCATAGTCCAAGAGCACAAGAATGGATGAGAGCCCATGGACGACCAATTTACTGAATGATCCACTGTGTCAGAAGCATGTGACAGGACTCTGCCAAAAGGCTCACAGAACATGCATGGCTGGGGCTGGAGCAGAGATAATGCTGGACAGAAGACAGTCAGGCCAGGAAGAACCTTGAACTGCTCTCTTCTCTGATCCCACAAAGAGAGTGTGGATCCCCCCACCTTCAGGCTTTCAATTACAAAATGGTTGAGAAAATAGTCACTGACAACATCCAGACTCACATAGCCAGGTCACCCTAGGGCAGTGATGGCAGATATTTTAGAGCTTTGGCATGTGTGCCATAGGTTTGCTACCACTGCTCTAGGGGAAAGAATATTTTCTTCATCCCTACTTAATTCAGAGTTTCCCAGGGGAGTATTCTGGGGTCAAAGGCACATTCCATGACCACCAGCTTAGCCTGACCCAGCCACACCCCACAATGACCAGGCAGCTGGGTTCATCCAAGAAGCCAGCAACTTCTGTAGCAGGGTAAAAACTTTCTAAAGGGAAAGAGGATGGTATTCTCCAAAGGGGGAACTTGTGGCATCATTTTCACATGCACTATCTTGCATGAGACTTTCAAATGTTATCAAACATCAGTTTTGGAAGACAGATATCATGAAGAAACCAAGTCTCAGGTTAAGAACTTGCCCAAAGAATTATCCATGATTGCTGAAAACACTGGGCTGCTGAGGAATGGGCTCTTTTGAGGGGGGGGGGTTGAGACAGAGTTTCACTATGTAGTTGAGACTGACTGGAACTCACTACATAGTCCAGGCTGGACTCAAACTCACAGCAATCCTCCTGCCTCAGCCTCCCAAGTGCTGGGATTACAGGCATGCGTCACCACGCCCCACAAGAATGGGCTCTTAATGGCATACTAGATATATTACACTTACAAATTATTTACTAGCAAAAGGAATACTTTGCATAAGGGAAGCTCTGACAGCCACTGCCTTAAACAAGTAGCACTATTAATATTCAGATTGGTATAATATGACAATATGTGTCTCCTGACAGGTCAGCATACAAAGGTAATATTACCTGCAGCATTCTTGCCAAAAATGTTTAGTCAAGTTTCTAAAACTCATTCTGATTTAGAGGAAATGCCAGCATAAGAAGGAAGTTAAACACCTCTAGAGGGAAACAGAAATCAATTTTGTAGAACTTTCCTACACTGTTTAAAGGGTAAAACAACCAGCCATGGTGGTGAGATCCTGTCTGAAAGTAAAAAATAAAAAAGGGTTGGAAATGCAGCTCCGTGTAAAGGACTTAAGTTCAAGCCCAGGACAAAAAATATAAAAATAAATAAATATATATTTAAAAGGCACAAGAGCTGCTCTAGATTAGACAAAAATTAAAGAAATGTAAAACCCAATGCAATGATGGCCCTTATTTTACTCTGTTTTGAAATAAAGTAGCTACAAACACACATTCTTAAAGCAACTGGGAAAAAAGAATATGAACTGCATTTTAGCTGTTATTATGAAATTATAATCTTATTCTTAGGTATGTTAATAATATTGTGATTATATAAGAGAATACCTTACTCTTAGGGAAAGCCTGTCATGATATTTAGGGGTAAAGTTTATATCTATCTTAGAAACTATTGAGAACGGTAGACAAAAAGCAAAATGGGAAAATGTTAAAGATTGTTACTCTAAGTGGAGAATATAAAGGTTAATTGTTATACTATTTTTTCAACTGTTTCATGTATTGAAATGTTTCAGGTAAAACTGGAAAAAATAAAGAGAAAATGAACTCAGGTTTATCATTCAGTCACTGAATATCCAGTATTTTTTCTAATGTAGAAAAGATAAGCATAGTGTGCAATGGGAAATATAGAATGAGATATATTTGGTCTAAAAAAGGCATCATTCAGATAGTCTCTGATCCTCAAAGGGGAAAGGATCAACAAATATCTAGTGGAAGAGATTCACATGTGTTCCTCAAAGAGTTCCACCTGCTTCAACATGAAAAATAATACTGCACATTGCACACACACATACTTGGAATAAAAGTTTCACTTACATTTATCATGTGTAGTACATACAGATGTATTCTGTTCTACTCTAGCCCTCCTTAAACTTTTTTTTCATTCATTAATTTTATTGGCACATTTTAGGGTATACATTACACTGCCACTCATTATTGGGAATTTGTACCTTTACATAAAATATCTTGGTTCTTATTTTTACCCCATTCCCCTGCACGGTGGAACTTCCCTTTAACTCCTACACCCCTCCCTATTTACAAAGACTTCGTTTACATTGTTTTCTTTTCTCATATTTATTCCTTTACCCTTTTCCTTTCCCCTAACCCTCCCACTTCTCCGTCCCCTTTGGACTTTTCTTTTCTATTTCACTTATATTTTGTACATTTTAATCCTTACACTTTCAGTTTCTCACACTTAAAAACTATTTGGTATTTACACATGTATGTCCTATTTATTTCACTTAAGAGTATCACCTCAATGTGCATCCATTTAGCTATAACTGTCTCTAGTTTCTCTTCTTATGGCTGAGTAGTATTCCATTTTATTTAAAAAAATTTTTTTTCTTTATCCAATCTCCAGTTGATGGGCAAATGTGCTGTCTCCAAGTTTTAGCTATTACAAACTCTGAGGCTATGAACATGGGTGCACATATATCCCTATAATTCTTTTAATGCTTTTGGAAAGATACCCAGCAGAGGAATAGCTGGGTCAAGTGGGACCTCTAATCCTAGTTTTTGGATGTGTCTCCATACTGATTTCCACAGTGGTTACACCAGAATACACTCCCAACCAGCAGTGGAGCAGGGTTTCCTTTTCCCCACAGCCTGCCAGAATTTATTGGTGGATTTCATGATAGCAGCCATTCTTTCTGGGGTGAGGTAGAATCACAGTTTTGTATTCATTTGCATCTTTCCAATGACCAGTATGTTGAACATTTTTTTCATATGTTTATTTCCTGCTTTTACTTCTTTGTCTGAGAAATGCCTATTCATTTCAGATGCCCATTTTTGGATTAGGTCTTTAAATTTGAAAGGTCTGATTTTTTTGTTATTTTATATATTCTAGTTAGTAGACATTTATCTGAGGAATACCTGGTTAAAACCCACCCCACAAAATCAGAATACACATTCTTTTTGGCTGCACACAGGCCATTCTCCAAAATAGGCCACATACTTGTTCATAGACCTTGTCTTAGTAAGTGCAAAGGAATTTAAGTTATCCCCTGTACATTATCAGACCAAGTGTGATGATACTGGAGATCAATAGCAAAAGAAACTGCAAGAATTTCACAAACACATGTAAACTGAACAATACATTTATGAATAACCAGTGAGTCACAGAGGAAATTAAATAAGAAATTAGACAGTTCCTACAATTAAATGGCAATGAAAATACAACATATCAGAATCTATGGAACACAAAGAAAGCAGTTTTATGAGGGAAATTCATAGCAGTAAATATTCATATTAGGAAAACAGAGTGAGCTCAAATAAACAACCCAATGCTAAACCTCAAGCATCTAGAAAAAGAAGAGCAAGACAAACCCAAAGCTCATACAAGGGAGGAAATTATAAAGACCAAGGTGGAAATCAATGCAATGGAGACTAAGAGAGCAATTAAAAAAAGCAATGAAGCCAAAAGTTGGTTCTTTGAAAGAATAAAGAAAATTGACAAACCCTTAGCCAACCTTATCAAAAAGAGAAGAAATGCCCAAATTCATACAATTAGGAATGAAATGGGTGAAATTCCAGTGGACCCAGGAGAAATCCAAAGGATACCTACTTCAATAACCTATACACCAATAAGATGAAAAATACAGAAGAAATGGACAGATTCCTAGATACATATGAATTACTAAAGTTGAATGAAGATGACCGAAAAATTCTAAATGACCCAACATCATTCAATCAAATTAAAACTTACCAACTGGGCCAGGGATTTAGCTCAGTGGTTCTGCTGCCTGCCTTGCAAGCACAAAGGCCAAGTTCAATCCCTGGTACAAAAATAAAAAATTACCAACTAAGAAAAGCCTGGGTCCTGATGGCTTCGATGTTGAATTCTACAAGACAGTTAGAGAGGAACTACTGCCATGACTGTTCCAGAAAACAAAAATACTTTTACAGACATAAAAATAAAAGTAGATTAAACAGCAACTCAGGACAAATACTGCAGTGATCTGTCATCATGACAGCACCTGGGACTCTGATTGTATTAAAGGCCAGCACACATCATGAGAAGATATACTAGTGTTTCTTTTTTCAATAAAAATGAAAGGGAAGCAATACTCCTGAATTCATCCTGGAAACAAGCATCACCTTGATCCCAAAAGCAGAGAAAGTACCAACCAAAAAAGAGAGCTATAGCCCAATCTCACTAATGAACATAGATATAAAAAGTCCTTAATGAGATACTAGCAAATAAATGCAGAAGATCATCAAGAAGATCATATACCCTGACAAAGTGGGATTCATCCCAGGGATTCAGGGATGGTTCAACATATGCAAATCAATAAATGCAATATACTACATTAATAGAGCCAATGACAAAAACCATATGATCATCTGAATGGATGCAGAAAAAGAATTTGACAAAAATCCAATAAGCGTTTATGATAAAACCCTCCGAAAAATTGGAATAGACATTCTCTATCTCAAACTGATAAAAGCCATCTATGAAAAACCAAAAGCCAACATCATACTAAATGGTCAAAAACTTAAATCCTTCATACTAAAATCAGGGACAAGGATGTCCACTATTATCACTTCTGTTCAATATATTTTTGGAAACTTAGCCACAACAATTAGACAAGAGAAAGAAATAAAAGAAATACAGATAGGAAATGAAGAAATCAAATTGTCATTATTTGTAGACAACATGATACTCTATACAGAAGACCCCCAAGAACAGCACCAAGTATTCTAGACTTAATACCCTAATTTAGTAAAGTAGCTGGATACAAGGTCAACACACAAAAATAAATAGCTTTCCTATACACACACAAAAAAAAAACAGACTCACTGAGAGAGAAATGGGGCAATCAATTCCTTTCACAACAGAATCCAAAAAATTGAAATACCTAGGAATCAACCTGATGAAAGATATCAAAGACCTTTACTCTGAAAACTCCAGCACTCTGAAAAAAGAGATGGAAGAGGATATCAGAAAATGGAAAGACATCCTTTGCTCTGGGTAAGAAGAATCAACACAGTGAAAATGTCCATACTTCCAAAACTGCTATGCTATATAGATTCAATGCAAACCTAATTGAAATTCCAAAAGCATACTTCAAAAACCTTGATAAAACAATGCAAAAATTCATTTGGAACCAGAAGAGACCAAGAATAGTGAAACCAATTCTAGGCAACAAAGACAAGGTAGGGGGTATCATAATCCCCAACTTGAAACTAGTCTGCAAAGCTACTGTGATAAAAACAGCATGGTACTGGCAAAGAAACTGACCCAAAGATCAGTGGAACAAATTAGAAGTGCAGAAACAACTCCAGACACACTCAGCCACCTCATCTTCAACAAAGGAGCCAAACACCCTCACTGCAGGAAAGATAGCCTCTTTAATAAATGGTGCTGGAAAAACTGGGTTTCAACTTGCCAAAGATTAAAACTAGACCTATAACTCTCACCATGCACTAAACTAAAATCAAAATGGATTAAAGAGCTAAATATTAAAACAGCTAGAAGAGAGGTTAGGTAGAACTCTTGAAGACATTGGCATAGGAGGTGCTGGGGATTTAGCTCTAGTGGCGCTGCTGTCTGCCTTGCAAGCACAAGAACCTGAGTTCAATCTCCAGTACCAAAAAAAAAAAAAAGACTTTGGCATAGGAAAAGATTTCATGAATAAAACCTCAATTGGCTGTGAACTAGCACAAAGAATCAACAAGTGGAATCTCTTCTTATTAAAAAGTTTCTGCACAGCAAGAGAAACGACCAGTAGTGTGAAGACAACCCACAATATAAGAAAAAATTTTACCAGCTGCTCCTCAGACAAAGATCTACCATCTAGAACATATAAAGAACTTCAAAAAAATCAGACCCCCAAAATTTAAAGACCCATTCCAAAATTGGGCATCTGAAATGAACAGACATTTCTCAGACAAAGAAGTGCAAATAGCAAATAAACATGAAAAAATGTTCAACCTCAGTTGTCATTCAAGAGATGAAAGTGAAAATAACACTGAGATTCTACCTCACCCCAGAAAGAATGGCTGCTATCCTGAAATCAACCAATAACAAATGCTGGTGGGCTGTGGAGAAAGAGCAACCCTGATCCACTGCTGGTTGCGAGTGTAGACTGGTGCAAACACTGTGGAAATCAGTACGGAGATATCTCAAAGAACTAGGATTGAAAGTCCCATTTGATACAGCTATCCACCTGCTGGGTATCTTCCCCAAAGAAGTAAAAGAATCATGCCACAGTGATATATGTACACCGATGTTCATAGCAACACAAATTGCAATAGCTATATCTTGGAAGCAGCTCAATTGCCCATCAACAGGAGACTAGATAAAGAAAATGTGGGTTATTTTTTTAAATGGAGTACTACTCAGCCATAAAGACTGAGAAACTAGAGATATTTATAGCCAAATGGATGCACATTGAGGCAACACTCTTAAGTGTAAGAAATAGGACACACGTGTAAATACCAAATAGTTTTTTAGTGTGAGAAACTGAAAGTGTAAGAACTAAAATGTGTAATAGATAATGGGAGACAGGAAAAGAGGTGGAAAGGGGAATTGGGAGGGTTAGGGGAAAGGAAAGAAGGGAATGGAATTAATATGAGAAAAAGAAAAATGGAAACAAAGTCTTTGTAGATAGAGAGAGGTGGAGGGGTTGAAAGGAGAACAGGGAATGAGGAAAAAATAGAAACCAAGGTGGATTTTGTAAAGATTCAAACTCCCAATGATGAACGTCATTATATTATATACCTTAAATGTACCAACAAAACTAATTTTTTAAAAAAGAAAAGAAATTCAGATTGTCCAGGAGAGAAGGTGGCCACAAGAGGACTTAAGTGGTCAGTGGACAGGGTCAGGACCTTGTAGGATTTCATCTTGAGGGCTGTGAGGGGCCTTTGACAGAAGTAAAGCATTCACATTTGATGTCAGTACCACCGTTCCTTTTCCTTCTGTCTCCTCCTTCAGCCAAAGACTCTGCTCCAGCCAGAGCACAGAGTGTGCCCTTTGCCCAAGGGAACCCAGGACTATGTACATGTTGTGACCAGAGGACCTTAGAACTGGGCCTTTTAAAATGTGCATATAGTTAAGTCATATCATCCTTTGAAAGCCTTTTTCTGTTATCCCAGGTCTAGGAAGAGAGAACTGCCAATTTGAGCTCATAAGCTGGGGCTAGAGTTGTAGAAGATCTCAACTTCTAAAGGGAAAAACCATAGTTGCCCACACAATAGTTTTACTGGGTAACATTGGGAAATGAACAGGCCCCTATGAGTCCTAGTTTACTGCCCTCTGGCAATCTAGCAATCAACCTAGTACACCCTCTCTCTCCTTTCCCACACACTCCAAACTGTCATCCTAGGCCACATGATTAAGCTACTAGATCCTACTTGTCTCTTATGTCCTCTCAGCACCTAGAAAGAGTTACTGTCCTCTATTATATTGATTCTCAACCTTAGTTGCACATTAGAAACAACTTATAAAACCCTAGTGTCAGCCAGGTGCAGTTGGCACATGCCTGTAATCTCAGCTACTCAGGAGACTGAGGCAGGAGGATTGCAAATTTGACAGAGACTCTGTCTCAAAAAATTTTTTTAAAGGCAGTAGTGCTTCTAAAGCTCCCTGGGTGACTCTAATATGGAACCTAACTTGAGAATTCATGCTATTGTGTCTTGTTGCAGATAGAAGCCATGAGAGAATTAGAGGGAAGGTAGTTACCCTGAAGGGGTCACTATAGGTTTAGGTGACCAATATCCTGGTATGTCTAAAATGTGGAATTGAGAAATTCCTGAAAACCAGAATGAGTTGGTGCCCTTGTGTTCACCTGACAAGCTGTTTGCTGTTGTCATTCTTTTTGCTTGACAGTTACACAATAATGAAGCCCTGCCTTGGTTAATGTCTTAACTTTTGTTACAGTCTAGTTTGAACCATACTATTTCTGATAGGAAACCTTGAAAAGTATTATTGAGTTAAAAATATCAGACAGAACTTAACCATTTTTCCCCACTTAAACTTGAAATGCATACATATTGGTCATAAGGATAGTTTGACAGTTCATTCTGTGTCACCTGGCCTGGGCTAAGGGATGCCCATATAGCCAGTAAAAAAAATCATTTCTGGAAACACCATTTCTGGGTGTGTGGCATTTGTGGACCAGATCAGCATTTAAATCAGTAGGCTCAGTAAAGACCATCTGCTCTCACCAATGCAGCGGGGTGGGGCATCACCCATTCTCTCAAAGGTCTTAGTAGAACAGAAGCAGAGGAAAGGCAAATGTGCTCTCTGCTTGGGCTGGAACTCCCCTCTTCTGTTCTTTGACATCAGTGCTCCTGCATTTGGGTCTTTACACCAGTGGCTCCATGGTTTTCTGGCCTTAACATTTTGACTGGACTACCTACCCACTTTCTCTGGGCCTCCAGCTTACAGACAACAGATTTTGATAATTCCTTTTCTATAATCATATGAGCCAATCCCTTACAATAAATCTCTCTATACTTCTATCTATACCCTATTGATTGTTTCTCTGGAGAGTCCTAATGCAGATACTTAGCATGTGTATCAGTAGCATTCAAGCAGAACCACTATGAGATACACACACATTAAAGAGACCTGATACAGGAAACTAGCTTTATGCAGTGGCAGGAGCTAGTTAATCAATGCCTAGAAGTCTCTATTTGATGCTGAAGACTGAAACCCACAGGGTGAACAGACAGGAGGTGAAGATCACAAGCAGCCTAGAACCCCAGCATGAGCTGAAACCTCATGAGGAATGAAACCAAGTCAGTTATTTTTGTCTTTGACATTTCAGAATGAGGATATCCTTTGTCACAGAGCTAAGCTCACACACTACTGTATCTGGCCCAGTAAAGGCAAGGAAGAGTTGGAGGTAGAACAGTTGCAGCCCAGGCAACAAGGACATGCAAGTCATCAATAACATGTGCAAACTACAAAATAATGCTGTTACCTTCTGCTCTCCAACTCACTCAAGAATCTCCCTTTTAGCCCACTGAACAAGAAGAACATTCAAGAAAGAGAATACTGGTGAGTGCAGTTCAGCCTACCTAAGCTGACATACAATAAAGGCATGACAACATGCCACAGTGAGAAATTAATTGATTTAGAAAACTTGCCCATTTATGGCATATAAGACAAAAAGATTCAGTAGTTTGCAGGATATGGGGAAGCAATGTATTAATCCAAAGAGACCTAAGCACTACTTGTATCTACAAATATAATGAGACAGAGAAGAGGGAAACAAAGCTACTGGGTTCTAAGGACATCTTCTGTTTTCCTAACATGAGTCTGAATCCAGAACTCCCTGAATCTTTCTTCCCTAAATTGGATCTAACTTATTCCATTTTCAGGGAATAAGTACAGAATTTTGGAAAGCAAACCACAAAATCTCCCTCTGGTGTATATCCTCAACATCAAGTAAAAAGTAGTGTTAACTAAATTTTCCACTTCTGGTCATCGTCTTTGAAACATTTCATTATACTTCCTTTTTCTCTTCATGCAGATACTCCACATAACAAGGCTTTCTGAAAACAATGATTATCCTACAGATCCCTCTAATATAAGCCTACTGGCAGCTGAATAAGGTGGGAACTCTGTCTGAAGGCTTCCATGTTCTGAACATATTCATGAGATTTTTCCACTGTGTGGGTATTAAGGTGTCTCCATAAGAGCTGAGCCAAGACTAAAGACTTCTCATTTCACATTCAAAGGCCTTCTCCCCAGCTGAATGTTCTGACTTTTTTTTTAAGAGCTGAACTTCAAAGGTGTTTTTCCACACTGATTTTATTCATAGTTTTCTCATCTGTATGGATTTCCAGATTATCAATAAAGCATGAACTATAGTTGAAGGTTTTACCACATTCTTTACATTCATAGGATTTTACTCCACTATGAATTATCTAATACTAAATACAGTGGTACCTTGGTTCATGAACTTAATTATTTCCATGATTCTGGTCACGAACCAAATTGGATGAGAACTGAATCAAATTCAGTGGTTAGGTGCAAAGATGACCTTATTGGAAAATTTGATTTGGTTCTCATCCAATTCAGTTTATGACCAAACTCATGGAAAAAATTGTTTGTGAACTGAAGTATAACTATAAGGTGGCAGTTCCAACTGAAGGCCTTCCCATATTTAACACATGTACAAGATCTCCCTACAGTGTGAAGTCTATGATATTTTTTGTGGGCTTGTTTGGTTGTTTGGTTGGTTAGTTAGTTGGCTTTTTGAGATAGGGTTTCACTATATAGTTCAGGCTGGCCTGGAACTCACTATGTACCCCAGGCTGGCCTCAAACAGAGAGCAATACTCTTGCCTCAGACTCCTGAGTACTGGAATTACAGGCATGCATCACCATGCCCAGCAGTCTTTACATGTTAAATATGGCTTACTGAAATTGGACACATTTTGCAGTGATATTTGAGAGAAGCAGCTTTCTGCTTAGAAGGATCTTTCTCGAAGAAGAGGGTACTCAGGAATATCCAATGCACAATTTCCATCAGCAGTGGAAACCTAAAATGTGCACAGCCCATTTTTATTAGACAACAATCATGGCCTTCAAGAAATTTCATAATTGTCTGTGACATCTTACCACATATTTTTACTTGTCCCTTACCTCAAATATGCCCTCATCTTCTTGCACATCCAGTTTGGATACTAATTCAACATGTGTTCACTGTGTATCCCAAACAGATTCCAACCCTGGAGAACAAGATGAGGTTTTTAAAAAGACAGATACAGACATCAAGTAGTCTGAACACTATCTAGGGGAATTCAGATGTGTTGTGTACATGTACCAACTCCATACAAGAAATGTAAACATTATGTACATAATACATACATGTATTAATATAAAATATTTTTAGTCTAAAATATTTTTAAAAAGCCAGGCGTGGTGGCTCATGCCTGTAATCCCAGCACTTGGGAGGCTGAGGCAGGAGGATTACTATGTGAGTTTGAGACCAGCCTGGATTACATAGTGAGTTCCAGGTCAGTCTCAACTACATGGTGAGACCCTGTCTCAAAAAAACAAAAATAAATAAATAAATAAATAAATAAATAAATAAATAAATAAAACATAAAAAAAGAAAATAGACATGAAGCTAACCCATAGCTAGGAGCAGAGCCGCAACAGAAACATTAACAGGAATAAAATAAATATGAGTTGCAAATCAAGAATAATCTGAGGTTCGTTGTTTGCAGGATAACCTAAAACAAGGGAGTTATTTTCTAGTTATCTTTTATTATTGATTTATGACATAATTTTATTGAGACCATAATATATACACTCTAATTTCAATAATTTGAAATTTGTTAAGAATTGCTTTTATATAGCTCAGTATATATTCAAGCTATGTAAATATTACTTGGTCTGGAAAATAATATGCACTCTGCAGTAATTGGTTGCAGCATTTTACATATTAATATACCCATTAATCAATTGTTATTAAAAATAAACCCTAGCTAGAAAGGCTAATTACCATTATAAACTGATGCTACAAACTCAGATCATTCATTGGTGTCAGAAAAGTACAGTCCACTAGAACTTTCCACAGTTAAGGAAATGTTCTACATGTATGCCACCTAATATGCTGTGTCTTAGTTACTTTTCTTATTACTAAGACAAAACACCCAATACCTAAAGTTAAAGGAGGAAATGTTTATTTAGCTCAGTTTATAGATGCTTCAGTCCATAATCAGCTGGTTCCAAGACAAGGCGGCATCACAGAGGAAAAACAGTTTATAATGGGTAGAAGGCTGAAAGCAACAAGGGATGAATTTTTAATTTTACTTAACTTGAATTTATTATTTTTAATTAACTTAAATTTAGATAGCCATTTATGGCTAATAGCTACCCTATTGAACAGTACATCTCTAATGCTTTCTAGATCTTCCAAATCTGTCCCATAAGGCTGGGGTATCTAAACTTAGAAGCTTGCAAAACTGAATCCATTTAAAAAGTAAAATAAGGAGCTAAAGGTGTAGGGAAGGTGGGATGGGTAGGGGAAGGGTAATAAGGGAAAAGAAAAAAATGAGATAATGAAAAGATGAAAATAAAGTGTTTGTAGATGTAGAGGGGAGGAGGGGGTGAAGGGAGGGCAGGTTAAGGGGAAAAAATGAGAATCAAGACTTGTCATGTAGAGGTACAAGATCCCAACAATGAATGTAACTGTACTGTATCCCTAAAATGTACCAATAAACTCAATTAAAGATAAAAAAAAATAGTAAAATACAATGGGGAGAGTGGGTAAAGGGAGGGCAGGGACAAGGGGAAAAAATGAGAACCAAGACCTGTCATGTAAAGGTACAAATTCCCAACAATGAATGTAACTGTACTATATCCCTAAAATGTACCAATAAACTCAATTAAAGCTGAAAAAAATAAAATAAAAAGTAAAATACACAGAAGATTTTCAAAAAGAAAACTCCATTGCCTCATCAGATGAAAGAGCAATAATTTGGGCATGCCTCCATTTGGATTTGTGAAACTTTATAAAGCAGCAGGCTGTCTTTCTGTACTTGACTTAGCCAAAAATTAAAATGAGGGTTAGGGGGCTAGGGATATATTTCAGTAGTACAGCTCTTGCCAAACATATGCAAGGCCCTAGTGAAAAAAAATGGGGGTAGGTTTATTCTGGATCTCCACGACCAAGCCTTTACATTTCCAGCCTCCCACACACAAAGTCTCTTCTACTACCTGTTGAAGAACTTAGTTACTCTATTTTGTAATGTGCTAAGGTCTTTAGCTGTTCTAGAGCAGTGATGGCAAACCTATAGCACATGTGCCACGGCCGGTTGTCATCACTGAAAATTCATCACTGTCCTAAAGGATGTGCCTTTTAGTTGATCCACTGTCAGAGATTTAGCAGCCTACCTGATGGAGTCAAGAATTTAAATCCTATTCTTCTCAGGCTCTGTGGAAGATCACCTTCTACATGAGGCTAAAGGTGATCTTTCTGTGCTCTCCCCACCTTCATGAGCCTCATCCAGGTGAGGCTGAGGATGAACTGGACCAGATGGTAGAGAAGAGGTGGTCAGAAACACTCAAATTCTGGGAAAAGTAATGGCCATGCCAACAGGATTACGTATTGATAGATGTATATAACAAAAACAAAGGTTTCTTTCTGAGAGGAATAATGTTGCTACCTCCTAAGATAAGGAATATTTGTAAGCCAGCTACAGTACCTACAATAATCTAATAAAGCATTTCCATGTATCTCTTCTTTAAATGTAATTTTTTTAATGTTTTACCTTATTGGTGCATTTTATTTTTTTTAATGGTACATTTTGGGTATTCAAAATGATAACATTCATTATAAGGAATTTAAACCTGTATGTGTATCTGGCTTATTCTTTTATTTTTCCATTTTCCTCCCCTCCCTTCAACCTCTTTTTTCCTCCTTATTAAAAAAGTTTTGTTTCCATTTTTCCCTTCTATTCTCTTTTATTTCTTGACCATTCCTTCTTTTCTGCCTCCTCCCCTCCTTGTTTGCCTACCCATTTGAACATTTTTTTCCCATTTCCCAACATCTATTATAGATTTTGGTCCTTATTTACACTTTGAGTTTCTCACACCAGAGAAACAGTACAGTATTTCAACATGTGTGTCCAATTTACTTCACTTAAGGCGATGGTCTCAAGGTGTATCCATTTAGCTAGAAATGTATGAAGCTAATCCTTCTTTATGGCAGACTAGTACTCCATTGTATAAAAAACACATCTTTATCCACTAATCAGTTGACAGGCATTTAGGCTGTTTCCAAGATTTAACTATTACAGACTGGTTCTATAAACATGGATGTTCATAAATCCCTGTGGTATGATACTTTTTCTTTCTTTTCTCTTTTTTTTTTTTTTTTTTTTTATTGGAG